AAGGAGGAAAAAAATTAAGTATTTATCCTGCCTTTGATATACAAAGTATATCTCAGGTAACTAAGCTGGTGAGGGAAACTTTGTCATTATAGAAGTAATCCATAAGTAATAAATAATGAATGACAGATTAGAACATCACCCTTCTGCAACCTCTAATGAATTAATGGGCCTGGGCAATAATCATCAATGGCTGCTAAGATGACTAAAGAGTGATAACCAGACATCATGTGCTTCCTGGAAACCTGTGAAGTATTCTTGCCACAAAATCAAACATGAATTTGATTAAGCCTCAACATCTAACTACAAGTTTATAAAAAATACAGGAAGGAACACACTAAACACACCATGAACACACAATTAGCCACACATGCACACAAATCTAGAATGCAAAACACTAATGAATAAACAACCAGTTTCTTCAACAAAAAATTATCAGGAAAAAAGAGAGGGAAGAATGAGAATCTATATAGATCCAAAAAGTCTTAAGAGATGTTAACCATGTTAATGTGCAAATCTTATTTGGATTATGATGCAAACAAACTATAAAAAATATAAACTTGGGAAATGTAAACATTAATTGCTTATTTAATGATATTAAGAAATTATTAACAATTTTATTTGTGATAGAATTATGAGTCTTTTTGACTCCTTACTTTTTTAAATTAAATTTTTCATTTTTAGATAATTGTAAATTGCATTTAGTTGTAAGAAATAATACAAAGAAATACCTCATATCCTTTACTCAGGTTCCCCAATGGTAACATTTTGCAAAATAGTACAATATTACAACCAAGATATTGATACTGATTCAGTGAAGACACATAATAGTTTCATTGAAACAAGGTTCCCTCATGTTGTGGTTTATAATAATACCTATTTCCTTCCCATCTCTAGCACTGGGCAACCACAGATCTGTTCTTTAATCTATAATTTTGTTATTTCAAAATTGTTTTAGAAATGGATACATGATGACACCTTATGAGATTGTCTTTTTGCACTCAGTGTAATTCTCTGGAGATTCATCCAGGTTGTTAAGTGTATCAATAGCTGGTTCCTTTTTATGGCTGAGTACTATTCCATAGTAAGAGTGTACCACTCTCTGCTTAACCATCCACCCACTGAAGGACATCTGGGTTGTTTCTGTTTGGGACTATTATTAATAAAACTGCTCTAAAAATTCATGCAGAGCCCTTACCTTTTAAAGATACTTAAATATTTATGGATTAGATAAAATGTCTAGGATTTGTTTCAAAAAGTTCCAGACTGGGTGAGATACCAAAAAAATAACATTGCCATGAATTAATAGGTGCACTATACTATTACCTCTACTTTTGTTTGTCTTTAAAATTTTCCCATAATACAAGTTTTAAAAAAGAAGTATGAAAAAAATCACATATCTGACCACTCCACACCCACAAACACATACATCTTCAAATCAAACTGAAGGTATGCTTTTTTATCTTTTGACTTTAGGCTGTGCTAAGATCACAGGAATTCTTGGCCTAAAAGGGACCACACCTTCCAGTATCATTATTATAACATTCACTAAACCAATTTAGGCAGATCCAACCTAGGCATCTGTTAACTTTCTTTCAGAAGTTCTTTATTAGGCTACAGGGTAGAGATAAAAGGTAGTCCGTAATGTTGGATAAAAGCAGGTAAGTAATCACCATAATCAAATGTATGAGATTCATGAGTGGCTTGTCTTCAAAAGAGAGGGTTCATGTCTGACATGAACAGGTCCTTATCATCAAGACAAATGCTGAGAGAACAGAAGTGTGATTACTAAATAGGAAGAGCAAGAAACTATATGAGCACAATCAGGCCTGAAAATGAAGTGAAATGCATTTTATATTATGCAAAGGCTGCTTTTGTTTTTAAGCCACTCTGGAGGACAGCATATTATTATCATGTTCAGACTGCAAGCTAATGATTCCTTAGTATAATTCTGCACAACAGTGTCTACTACTCGACACCACCGACATTCCATCAGTTCATTCTTCCCTAGCGCTGTATCATATTCTCCCCCTTCATCCCCCTGAGGATACGTTGTTTTTTCCCTATATGAGGACTTACAAAAATGAAGACCCACTCTCCCAAAGATCTCAAACAAAGAAGAGGACATAAATGCCAAACTATTAACCAATCTGGGATTAAAAGCCAAGACTTCCAAAGGAAATATCCATGATGACTTTCAAATGTCAAGTAGTACAATGACTACAAATGAGTACAATGACTACAAATGAGTTTTCCCTTTCTTGGTCTCTAATGCCTAGACATACACAATAATGAGCAATTCTAAAGCTTAAATAAAGATTGTTATTAAAAACAGGATACCTGTCTACAGATCAAATCCCAATAAGACAAATGCCAAAGGATCACCTAAGTTTTACAGTTGTATGTACTTTGGTTATGTCAAAATCCCTCTTATTAAGCAAGTCCCAGTCGTGGTGTTAAAAACTGTAATGCTTATCATGATAGGATGTGATCTGTACTACCATACTATGATAGGCTGGAGAAAGATGGTATCTAATAGGCTGTGTGACACTCAAATGCCTATAAATTGAAAGACAGTCAGTTCTATTAAAAAGAATCAATGTACAGATTGGTTCATTTGGTTGGTTTAACAACTTAGGAGTTCTATCAATGGAAAGAAATCTATTGGCAACATCATATTAAGAAACTAAGAAAATTCAGTTGAATTCAGAATCTTGCTCCTATGTCATGAGTCAGAACAGAAACATGTGGAATTCAAACAACAAATGACATAGACCACCAGAAATTGTGCTATACAGGCTTGCATTGAGGAGATTGATAATAGGGTGAGACAGAGAAGGAAAAGGATAAGAATTGGGCTCTGATGCATAATGGAAAATGTAACTGAGAAGGAGCTGAGATAATGGTGTAAAGTTAAATAGACATATATTTTTTGCCATCTTCCTTGACTCCTACAGCCAAACCTGGGTCCTGTGGATTTCATCTCTGTAGTATAAATTTTTGGACAGCTGTGTTCATACATAAGACAGTAGAAATTGAAGCTCTTATGGTTTACCATGACATACTTAAAGGTTAATCTAAAATAGATTGCATAAAATAAAATGTTCTTGCCAAAAATCTTTGGGGCTGCTTTGCTTATATATCGCATTACCCTTCTTCATAGCAACCACCTATGCCTGGTCTACAGAACTTGAATGTCACAGGGGGCCATTTTTGTGAGCTGAGATGATTTCAGAGAAAGGAGCACGTAAGAGAACAGGTACGAAATATGCAGACAGAACAAAGAGGGAAGGCATTAAACCTGAAAACATTCCGAGAACGAACTGCACCTGATGGATACAGGGAAGTGAATAGCCATGTTTGGCAAGGGCTATGTAAAGTGGAGAAGTAGAAGATAAACGGAAACTTGGAGCCAGGAAGTAGCAGCCACTGACGCCCAGGTGAGGCATTCAGACCACATCCCCTAGGCCCTCAGAGAGTTATCACAGGTCTGGGCATGGGTAAGTACTTACAGCAGTGGTTAAGATGTGACAAGGAGCAGGGAGGAAAAGAGCAAAAGATTGGCAATAAGAGGCTTTACTAATTGCTACAGATGAGGTCACAGCGTTTGATCTAGGAAGGTAATAGTGGGAAGAGAAAGGAAAAGACTAATTTGAAGGGCAGTGTGCAAGATACACATACTCAAAGTGAGTTTTGTCCTCAATTAGAATCTAGAAAATGGTCACTTGCAGTCATTGTCAGAGAAGTGCTTAAGAGATTCTAAGGACTCTTCTGTTGATTGGGAGGTAAACTGTCATTATGATCAAACACATGAGAGGGCATAAAATTATAATGGCTGATAAAGTCATTTTTAAAGGAAGTTTTCATTAAGCTTATCTGAAAAAAATAAGATTTTTAATATAAGTAAAAATTATTTTTAAGGAGATCATGATTGGTTGCAAGGTGATGAGTATTTTTAAATTTCTAAAATAATTAACTGCTGATTTTAGCAAGGCACTAATGATGACTTATATGATTGACAGATCTATTTTCTCTATTTTTGCAAATCTACTTTTCCTATCTACTTCTGCAGATCTATTTTCTCCACTTTTGCAAATCACTATTGCATTTCTAGTATTAATCAAAAGTTCATTTTTTTGCAAATGCACCTATGTGTAAAACTGGGAAACATTATATATGACATAAGCAAAATCATCTATTTCTTAGTATATCTGCCAACTTAGTCTCTATTTTTCTTTACTGAATATATTTTTATTGAGCATCTACTATAAGTACTACACCGGTGTGGGATATATAATGAAGAGTGAAACAGACACAGTTTTTCCACATGGGGCAAATGGCAGAGATAGTCCCAGATGTAAGATGGTTCAACTAACAAACTTTCAACTTTATGATGGCGCAAAAATGATACACCTGCTTCAGCGGAAGCCATACTTCAGGTATCCATACAACCATTCTGTTCTTCACTGTTAGTAGAGTATTCCACAAATTACATTCAATACTTTATCCAATACTGAGCTATTCAATACTTTATTACAAAATAGGCTTAGTGTTAGATGACTTTGCCCAACTGTAGGCTAATGTAAGCATTCTGAGCATGTTTAAGGTAAGCTAGGCTAAGCTATGATGTTTGGTAGGTTCGGTGTATTAAATACATTTTCGACTTAACAATATTTCCAACTGACTGGATGTAACCCCATTGTAAATCAAGAAGCATCTATATAGTGGAAAAGACAGACATTAATTTTAAAAAATTATCCAAATATGTAATTTTAAATTATGGTAAGCACTATCAAGGAAAATTACAAGATACTATGAGAGCTTATAATAGGGAGGCTAAACCAAGACTGAGCCTGGGAAGGTGTTCTTAAGGAAACTTTCTTGAGCTGAAATCTGTAAGGATGTAGAGCAGTGAAATAGGAAAAAGAGTGAGTGAGGGAACTAGATGAAAACATGAGTGGAGAGAAAGAACTGCATATAATAAAATGACAATACACTCTAACCTGCTGAGTGATAGTGTCCCATGGTCCCTGTAGCAGCCGCGTCTTATAGCATTCATGGACTTCTTCCCATATGTCCTTGAGAGTTAAAGGTCTCCCATCTGTGAAAGTGCATGGTAAAGACTGAGTAATCCATATGACACAATGGGGCTTGGTCTCAATCTGAAACTACTGGGAGAATATTATGACTTTTTAAAAAAATCTTTACTAGTGCACATGCTATTTATATACCTAGGGAGTGCTATGTGAATTACTATTTTCTTCCTGAGGAAAATTTAAACATTCAAGCTTCTCTCCTTTGTATCCATCTAGCATTTAAATTATCTGCTCATTCATTGCTTCTAGGAATTTTACAAAATAAATAAAATCCAAATGTGTTTTAGAGAGAACTGACAGATACAAGCACAGGCAAAGGATCAGGCAAATAGACTCCCACATTCACAAGGGTGCAGTATGGATATCTCTGAAGTCTTAATACTCCTCGGGTCCTTAAAACAAAGAAATCATACTCAAGCTTCTTTCACTCTCTCATTGACTGAGTATCTGTAATATCTAAATCATTCTGCTGGGTACTGTGCAAAATAGAAGGAGAACACACAATTTTTCCTAGGAAGGAGCCTGTCATCCACTGGGGAAACTATGACAAGTATGTCAATAACTAAAATACTAACTAGGTAGAGAGCAGTCTCTACCCAAAGAAAACTGCAATTTGCTGACAGTCCAGAAATTTTAGCACCCAGTGTTAATGGGGCTGTTGGGGCTGAAGGGACTTGAGAAAGGGTTGGTATAAAGAGATTAGCAAGAGTTTTGGTGAACAATAGTTCTCCTTATATTTGTTTAAGTGGTTTTGATTATCTCTATTCTGTAACCACCCAAATAATGTATTTTATGAAGACCGTCATGGCACTTACAGTATACACAAGATAAGTGCAAAAATAGGTATCTAAGTTCTGAAAAGAAAGCAGAGAGAGAGTGCATTACCTAAAGATTTCAAACCACACACTGCTGGAAAGAGAGTCTTAATGCTAGAATGTAGCACTACTGAGGCCACTTAGAGCTATCAAGTCCTCAAGACTTAAGGGCGTGCTCTTTTCCGTAGGCAAATGGATGGTATCACTCAAAGAAAACACATCGGTGTACAAAATCATTAGATCCAAAGAAGTATTTGGTCATCGAGTGCAACAAAATAATCTATTCAAGAACCCCAGAAAACCAAAAAGCATTTTATTCAGATATATACTGTAAGTAGAAACATAGGGTGTGGGGAAAGAACACTAGATTATCATTATTCAGTAAATATTTAAAAGCATTTGCAATGCCTCTGTCCAGGCTACGTTTAAATCCTGGTGCTGGTACTTACTCCCTGTGTGACTGCAAGTTATTTTGCATTTAACTTTACCTGAAAAATGAGGATAATAATCCTTTTCCAATTTTGTTCTTGTGAAGCTCACATCAGTGAACAAATCCATGACTGTGTTAGGCATACAATAAGAGCACAATGTTTATTAGGTATCCTCTCCCAGTTTCCACTTCACTATTTCAATAGTTCTCAAAGCTAAAGGATTTGTTTCTAGACTGTTATTTCTGAGAATTTTCCCATGTTTCTATACCATGCACATTGCCTTTGATACAGTAATACACAAACACCATACGCAGGGCATTTCTCATGTTTGACCTGAAAAGTTGAACTTTTCCTCAACCTTTATTTTCAATAAATAGCAATAGAATATTTTGATACATTTTCAATAAGTATCTTCATCTTGGCATTTATCTGGTGGCAGGAGACCATTATCTTGTGATAAATAGTTTTATTCCATTGACATTTCCATGTCTGTAAAATGAACAAGATTTATTCATCCAATTAACATTTGAATGTCATGTTTAGCTACAAGTTAAAAACAAGCTGCCTTCAGTATGTGTGTTATATTGTTTTCTGAACACATTTACAGACTAGGGCCAAACTCTGCTCTTAAGAGAAGAACCACACATCTTCAAAATATTCATGTGCATGTGTCTGTGCACGCGTGTGTGTATACTGATGTTGGGAGAGGCTAATAAGACCTTACATACTTCAGTGTCAAAGAGTAAACTAAATAATCAACTTATGCTTTTAAGATAATTTTTACATGTCAAAGTTAGAAGAAGTCAAATGCCTGTATTAAGACGACAAAATGTTAGAGCTGGTATAACTACTAATTTTATAAATAAGGCAAACAAGGTCTTCAGAAATATGTATCTGCCCAAATTTTGCAGCCAGTTCACCTCTGAATCCAGATCTCAGGACTCACTAGTGCTCTTCCTGCTATTCCCTGCTGCCCCTGAGGGCAGAGGCATTGCAGATGCTTTATAAATATTGACTGAATAATGATAAATAAAAGAACGCCTTCCTAAACTTTATTTCCTCTAAGACGGAGAAAGCTTTGCAGACCTAGAGAAGAATGCTGGGTTTAATATCTGGTAATCAGTAATGATTTTAATTTTATTCCTTAAGATATTTCAGTCAACAATCTAAATATGGAATAAATGGTTTGGATATTACCACTGTCAAAAAACTGCATACTCTGCTGGAAACATTCATACAAAATGCAGTAATAAGCAGCCTAGCAACAATGTCGAGAGACTCAGAACAAATGTTATAGAATTTTCATCAGATTTGATACTAAAATTGAGAGTATGTGCAGTAAGTTTTCAGACAACACCAAATCTAGTGAAAAAACTGAACACCTTAGAATACAGAAATTAAAAAATGATTTGGTTAACCTAAAATAACAGACAGTCATAAGGAGTTAAAAATAAGTTCCAAACATAAAAATCAACTGTATTTCTCCTTATGTCATGAAAATACATATTTTTTTAAATCATGAAGTATTTCTATGATCCTCCCTTTTCCAGTTTTTTTAAAAGACAATACTACATTAGCAGTATTTAGGCTCTTTATATGTCATTTAATAAAAACAGAGCAGTTAGTAAAAATGCATTTCAATGTGTCCCCTGATTTTAACTTGATTCTAAAAATTATAGTAATAAAAATGTTTTTAATAATAAAAAAATACACAACAAACTCACCATATTGACACCTGCCAAGCCTTTTCTCTATTCCCCATACATGCTGCAAAACCAGAAATCCAGGAATCATTCTAGATCCTTCTCTTTCTCAATCTATCTCATAATGGAAAATATGGCCTGTTATTACCCTCTCAATCTCTCCACAAGCTGTGCTCACCACTCCATTCCCACTGCACTGGAGTTCAAGATTCAAGCCTCCAACAATACCCTTTGTCAGTCCTCTAGCCCCAGTGCTTGGTCCTCATCCCCATTCATCTCAAATACAAATCTAATCTTACTTTTCCTCTGTTGAGTATCATGCTCTGGCTCCTCCCACATATAAAATCCAACCATCTTGGTACTCTAGACCCTGCTGACTGGCCCGCTTTTGCCATTCTTCCCTGTGAATCCGCCCTCAATCAAGATGGCAACTCTGTCCCACCACATGCCCACCACAAACCCAATCCTTTGCCTGTTGTACTTTTTTCATGACAAGTATCACTCTCTGGAATTATCTTACTTGTTTATACATTAATCATTTCGTGCCTTTGCCAACTAGAATGCAAGCCCTGGCAAGGCAAGGATCTTGATTATTACTGTTCCTGCATGTATGGAGGGTTTGGCTCATGGGTCAGGGTTTGGCCCACAGTTAAGTGGTCAAGGGTTTGCTAAATTTATGGTATAAAAGTTTGTGGTTTTTTTCCCCACTCAGTGTTATGACATAAACATTTCCCATACTGGCAAACGGTCATCATTATGCAGGTGCAGGGGCTCACACCTGTAATTGCAGCTACTGGGGAGGCGGAGACAGGATTGCTTGAGCCTAGGAGTTGGAGTCCAACCTGAGATACATAGCAAGACCCCCATCTCTAAGAAAAAAAGAGATTCTAGAAAAAGTCATCATTATGATTTTACTGGTTATGTGATATTGTACTAAGATGATGAACCATAATTTACTTAAGTATTCTTCTGCTGTGGGTCATTTAAATTATAAATAGTACTTAGCACAATGCAGTCACAAAATAAGCCAAAACAATTTTTCTTCTTTTGAATTATTTTCTTTTGATAAATTCCTTGGAGTAAAATTACTAAGTCAAAGTGAAAAATAACTGTTTAATTCAAGTCAAAAGAACTAGTATTCTACCACATCAAGATTCTCTCTGGAGTAATGAGATAAGAATTTTAGAAATAGATGTTTATATAATTTGGCATCCATTATATACCAGGTATTTTTTCTAAGCCTTCGTGATATACCAGTGACAAAAACAATGGTCCCTGTTTTCATGGAGGTTACATTCTAGCGGGGGGAGAGGGATAAACAAGGAACACGGTACATGAGTAAATTATATAGTATGTCAGGGAGCAATACATACTATGGTAAAAAGAAAAAGTAGAGTAGACTAAGGAATGCCAGCCAGGGTTGGGTCTGCAATTGTAGACTTCATTGAGAAAGCGACTTGTGAGCAAACACTGGGAGGCATGGTGTTCCAGGGAGAGGGACCAACCAGTGGAAAGACCCCCAAGGTGGGGAAGAGGGGAAGGGGATCACTAGCACTCTGTCCGGGTCACTAAAACCTAAAGATATCAGCTTTATCGAGATATAATTCACATAGACACAATCGACCCACTTAAAATATACAGCTACTGTACATTTATTGATAGATATTCAGAGTTGTACAATCATCCCCTCAATCAGCTTTAGAACATTTTTATCACCTGAAGAAAATAAAAAAAAACCCAAACCCATGAGCAATCATTCCCCATTCTCCCCACCCAACCTCCCCAGTCCTAGGAAACCACTAATTTACTTTCTGATGCTATGAATTTATCTATTCTGTATGTTTCATATAAATGGAATCAGTATGTGGTCTTTCGTGACTGGTTTCTTTCACTTTAGCATAATGTTTCAAGGTTCATCCATGTTGTGGCATGTATCTGTACTTAATTACTTTTTACAATCAAATTACATTTCATTGTATTATATGCCACATTTTGTTTATCCATTCATCGACTGATAAACATCTAGGTTGTTTCCACTTTTGGGCTAATATGAATA